TCCTCCATGCCAACGAGAGTAATATCCTCAGTATATTTGCTGTAGCTTCATTAATCAAAGAGACCAATGTTGAAGTCATCGTTGTAGAAGAAGAAAAAAGAAAATGAAGGAGGAGAAGGGGAGGAGAAAGGGAGCTCAAGTTGTTTAAAAAATGGGTACAAGTTAAAAGTTTTAAAAAAAAATGGGTATAGGTTAAATAGGGGCGACCAAATAGGGCGTCCCGTGCAATTTTTACATGGTCACATCAATCGTAAAGCCCAAAATATAATTGCGGTGATTTTTATTTTGGGCCACAACGGGGGCCCATGATGTTATAAGAACCAGGGAAAATGTGTAGAATAATAGAATAAAATAAAAGAAAGGGGCATTCCGAGAATTGAACTCGGGACCTCTCGCACCCTAAGCGAGAATCATACCACTAGACCAAATGCCCTGTTTGCTTAATTTTGTCTCTATTTACCATAAGATGTACTTGAGAGATTTCAGAACTTTAACTATCTCGCTGTTGTTATTGCTTATTTTCCATGACTTTTATCACTACTATATTCCTTTTTTTTTACTGATGCGATTATGGTTGACTTGAACTGAGGGTCTATCAGAACAACATCTCTACCTGCACAAGTTAGGGGTAAGATCTTCTTACACACTATCCTTCTCTGACTCCACTTATAAAAATACACTGAATATGTTATTATTATGGGTTCATGGATTTAGGCTTCATATTCAGCAAAGAACACATAATCAAGAATCTATTTTGTTCACATAATTAAATTCTATGCTTTAAGCACATTTTCAAACATAATTTAGCCAATTTTGGTTAAAGTAGTAAATTTTATTCCTATCTATTTAGTATTATTAAATTTTTAGGGTGAGAACTGAGAGTGCTCCTCGTTTTTGTAGTCAACTTCAAACATAATCACAATATAGATTTTCGTTATAACATAAAGAGTCAGATACATTTTGATGGAATTAAATTTCGATCATCAATTTTAAACTACATTACAAAGTTGGATCAGATCAAAGTTGCCAAATAGACCTTTAGATCATTCATTTTAGCCTTTTTCCCTTTTATCTTCTATTTCACGCTTACTAGATTTTTTTTTCTATTTTAATCTTATGAGATAAATCCACTAAGTAAAAAAAAAAAATGAAAACATTATAATGAGCTCCTAAAGAAATAATTAGCCACAACGCAGAGATAATCCGTTGGTTTTGCAATTAAGGTCAAAGTTTGTAGTCTTTTAGTTGTTACTTTTACTTTTATATTTACTCGATTGCATAGAAGAAATTAATACACTACTAATAGCCTGTTTGGCCAAGCTGGAGAAATCACCTTATTTTGAGAAGCGCTTTTTTTAAAAGTGCTTTTGAAAAAAGTACTTTTGGAGAGAAGCAGTTTGTGTTTGGCTGATTACTCTGAAAAGCACTTTTGAGCAATAATTTGTGTTTGGCCAAGCTTTTCAGAAAGTGCTTTAAGTATTAAATTACGAATAAGGACATGAATAGATTTACTTTATAGTTAATATTATAAGTAAATAAATAATCTCAAAAATTTGTTATTACATGCAATAATTAAATCTTTTCATTTTATTTAAGTAAAATATGAAAATAAAATTAAAAAGTACTTAATTCTTTTAATATAAGTTAAATATATTAAAAATCATTCAACAAATATAAAAGCATTCACCGCTAAAGTCACTATATATTAGAAAGCTATCACTATATATTAGAAAGCTATCCTAAAAATAAGAAGAAATATTTATACATTTATATCCTAAGTATTAGGTTTAACGGTTATTTTGGTATATACTATATTTTGTTAAGGGCATTTTTGGTAAGAAGAAAAGTCAAAACTACTTCTGCTTCTGCTTTTGGGAAGAAACTACTTTTTTCTGCTTCTCAGAAACTGCTTCTGCTTCTTCCCAAAAGCACTTTTTTTCCTTAAAAAAGCTTGTCCAAACACCTCAAGTTAGGAAAAAAAAGTGCTTTTGAAAAAAAAAGAAGCACTTTTGGCCTCTTGAGAAGCTTGGCCAAACAGCCTATAATTCCGTAAATTTCTAGTATTTCATTTTCTTAGCTATATTTTAATTCTTGGCTCAGATTGGTTATTAGCTATATAATCTTCATTCTACAAAATTTTGAGAAATATATATATCCATTCATAGCAACGAATAAAAATGCAAAAGAACTATAATTGGTAAAGCATGCAAAGTTGTTCATAGGTATCGTAAGGCCTAATGTTTTTGAACTCAATTCTGAATCCACAACAAAAAGAGAAGAATAAAAGTTATGAAAATGACTAAGCTAAAAATGTTATTAGTGCTTCCAAATTCAAGCTAAATTTTTATTTCCGAGACTAATAATTTTTCTTGAGACTTCTGTTTTTATTTTAAAGTACAATTTTAAAAGAATATATTTCTCTGCTTTCTGTGGGAGCGAATTGTTCTAGTTTAGAACACTTTATCTTATCCTTATCACTATCATTATTATTATTCTATTATTATTTTACTCTTCAATTTATAACTAATATTGTTTCTTTTACTTTGTTATGTCTACTAATTTTGCTGTTAACACTTTTTTTTCTTTAATATTTTTATCACAGCTCTTTTATTCTTGTATTTTTTAAACCTGTTTTGAAAACTTTTTTTTTTAAGCCGGAAATCTGTTGGAAACGATCTTTCTACCTCAACAAAGTAAGGATAAGGTCTCTCTACACCCTACCCTCGCAGACCTCTTCTTCAAAGTTTGGAATATAACAGCTCATGATTGACATAAGAAATGAAGCTAAATCTTATCCTATTAACCAAATAAAATATAAATAAATTAAAGTGAACACAGCAAAAAGAAAAAATCAAATTAATCTCATCCATTCACATTTTAGTCAAGAATATACAACTCTTATTTTAATTAATGGTACATTAATAAGAGGATGAAGTGTCGGTGATTAGTATAATTCCCATTTAATTTAGAAGGGTAAAGTTCAATTGTCAATAGGTTTTTTACCTTTCATTCTCTTTATTTCGGATATCCTTTACCCTATAAAAATAATTAAAATAAAATTATATGACAAGATTTAAAATATTTTTCAAAGCTGAAGAATAGTTAGGCTAATTTTAGAAGTGTAAACTTCAATCTTCAATAGGCGTTTTCCTTTCTTCCTTATCAAAACAATTAATTTTAAAATAATGGCACAATGACATAATTTTAAATAATTTATAAAGATGAAGAATAGCTAGGCTTATCTTAAGGGGGAATTAAACGAATATAGCGTCATGACTTATCAAACATATACTTGAAACAATATGTATATAGCGTATAAACTAAATAATTTAGTTTGTCCATTTCCACCTATTTGAAGCGTTATTTTATTCTAAGAGATTTGACCAATAATAATAATAATAATGTAAATTATAATTTTAATATTATGAACCCTTTCCATAATTCCGCACTATCACTTTAAAATCTTCTAATTGTAAAGAGTGTAACGTGGTTGTGCAGAGCAAATAATGCACAAGCCCCTAAAGTCAAAATACAAATAAAAAAGATGCAACTATATGTGATTGATCTATTAAGTTATTAATTAATAGATTAAAAACTCAGAATTTGTGAACTCAGTTGGTCAACTAGTAGTTTATACAGATATTTTGGATCTCGATCCGAATTATCCAGATCTCAATTTATTAATTGTATATTTTTTCTAGAATCATTTATTTGCTCTAAATGAATTTGGTTCAATTAAATTGTTTGCAAAGCCTTGAAATTAAAACAAAAATTTTAAAGAGAATTCTACACATCAAATATTATGAAAAAGAAAGAGAGCTACCCACAGGGTGGCAAACGGGCGGGTTGGATCGGATATGCTTGGATAAATATTGGGTAATACAAAACGAATAAATTATTTGACCCGCCCTATATTTAACACAGGTAGAAAATGGGTTAACCAACGTATAATATGGATATCTATATTATCCATGGCTTTTTGAATATAATTAATTTTTGGAGGATTCCTAGTCTCTCAAACCTGAGGAACCCCCTATTTGTGTCTTTACGAATGTAAAAGTGATACCCATCGGTTATCCATTGATTATCCATTTTTTAAGTGGATAATATGGATTTTATTCATATTTGACCCATTTTTAAAATTTTTTGTATCCAATCTATTTTTAGTGGATAATATGGACGAATAACTATTTTTTTATATCTGTTTTATCACTTCTAGTCACCCATAAGAAGAAAAGAAAGATCCCAAGAAGTGGCCAAAAGAGGCATACTCTAAGTTTTATTTTTTGGTTTCCCATTCGGTATCCGGTATCCGCATTGGGACTCGACTAAATTCAGATTCGTGTAGGAAAATCCTACATTGGGGGGTAAAGCGCTCCCTTACAAAGGCGACTCCATATCCCGGGCTCGAACCCGAGACCTTTTGGTTAGGGATTCTTTATTTATTTAATGCCTTTCAGAAAATTAATTGATGTAATATTCATCTAAACTTAACATTAAGATTTATTCGATCAATAATATCGAGTATCATGTCTATTACTTTTGTCATGGTTGATCCCTCATGCAGTTGAAAGTATTTTTCATACCGTAGAGAAAAAGAAATAGAGTAATATAGAAAGTCTTTTACAATTAAAATTTTCTTTAATGATGTAGTATTAGGAGTATTTTTCTCTTGTAGGAAGAAGCAATTTTAATTATCTCGTATTGATTTGGAGATGATATCTTAATAAACAGATATGCATAAGATTTATACATCTTAATTCTAAAAACAAATAAAGAAACCATCTATAATAATTTCATAAAATTTTAAGAAACTAAATGATGAAATGTCATCGAATACGTTGTCTATAATTAATCGTACCATCTCAAGTAAAATAATAATAATAATAATTGAAAGAGATTATAAAACTAATAAAAATCAAAATCAGTTTTAGACAATTTGACCCAAGCTAAGACAATCTTCTATAAATTGATGGGGCAACAATCAGCTTCAACATCTTCTTTCTTCTTTCTCTTACAACCTTGATCATAAATCAACATCTTTCATTCATGCAGGTTTGCTTTCTTTATCTTTTTTCCCTATTTTTTTTTGTCTATTATATATTTTTTTCCGGGAGGAGCAACAATATAGTTGTCTCTGTGTGATCTATAAGTCACGGGTTCGAGCCGCAGAATCAGCTACTGACTCTTATCACATCCCTTTGGGTTGCAGTACTTCCCCGAACCCTGCATAAATGCGAGATATTTTGTGCACTAGACTTAGTCGCCTTTTTATTATTTTTTTTCTTGGAGTAATACACCTGGTTGTTATAATCATACATGACCATTTGTCTATATGTTTTCACTCAAATTCAAAGTATTTTTGCATGATTTAAATTAAGTTGATTTTCAAAAGAGATGAGATATATAGGAATGACCATGAATTATATAAGCTAATGTTGTTTCTGCAATTCAAATCTCTGCTAGTGCTAATTAAGTTTATATGATAATTTTCTCTTGATTGATTAAGTAATCTTGTTATTTGACTGTACTTATTGGATATATCGGAATATTATTAGGTAAAAGAGGACAACTAATCCATTGATGCGTTTCCCCACCTATCCTTTCCCTTAATTATATTATTAGGCCAAAAGCCAAAGACAAAAAACCAGAAAAAATAAGGGCGGCCAGGTGCATTAAGCTCCCGCTATGCGCGGGGCTTGGAGAAAGGCCAGATCACAAGGGTCTATTGTACACAGCCCTACCCTGCATTTCTGCAAGAGGCTATTTTCACTACTTGATAGGAAAATATGGAGGTCGAGTATTAGGGTTGTAGGTTAGGAGGTAGTTGAGTCTTGCCTTACTTCGTACCTCTATGAGACTAGTCTGGTAGGATTTTTGTGTAAGATAGCTATTGGCAATATTGTGTCTTACTATTACACTTTTCAATGCATGACCTATTTACTACCTATCGCTTTTGCTTTGCATCTTTCTTCTGAATTTAATGTTGTTCCTATTTTCTTATGATTTATGTGGTGATACTAATATTGTCTCCCTTTTGTCTTTCTGTTTTCTTGAGCCGAGGGTCTTTCGGAAGCTGCCTCTCTACTCCTTCGGGGGTAGGGGTAAGGTCTGCGTACACACTACCCTCCCCAGACCCCACTAGTGGGATTTTACTGGGTTGTTGTTGTTGTTGCTATTTTCACTACTTGAACCCGTGACCTCCTGATCACATAACAACAACTTTACCAGTTACGCCAAGGCTCCATTCCAGAAAAAGAAAAATAATATGAAAAAAATGTCATCACGGTAATAATTGGCTTAGATCTTGACAAAACTATAATGTGGACGAGCTGCAGTCCGATTATTAATGAGACAAGGTTGTATAATATTCTAAATTGCTTATTAATTAGGACCAAAAGCTTCATATCAACAACTTAAAACCACATATTTCTCCTTTTTGATGTCATGTATGATAGTTTAATCCTCCCTTTGTCCTCTTAAACTAAAAAAATAAAAAACAAATACAAACTTCCATTTAAGATTAACAAATTTGCTTAAATCATACTCCCGTTGTCCCAATTTATAGTGGCGGCATTCAGATTTCGCAAGTCAAATTAGTTGTTCTTTGACAATAATTTTTTTTATATGTCTTTTAAATATTTTAAATTATTAATTATAGTGACTTATAATACTTTTTACGTCATTTCTAAATATATGAATTTTATTTCGAAAAAATTAAAGATTCTATATTCAAATAGACAGTCAATATTAAGCAGTTTGAGTCTCAAAATGCAAAAAATGTCACATAAATTAGGATAGAATGAGTACGTAGTTGGACGATTAGACGGCCATTTGTAGAGCTTTTAAGCAAGATCTATTGTTGATTAATCGTCGTAATGGTAATAATTAGAGGATTATATATACTTTTTAGAAATATGAGTGTAATGAAATAACCAGTAGTTATCCTTAATTTACACCCTTTGTTGTTGTCACACTCCCATTTTAGAATTTTCCCACTATTCTTAGTGGGCTTTTGGACATAAGAATTGTAAAATTAAAAAAAAATAGTGAATTGTTTTTTCAAAGTAAAAATGATATTTGAAAATTAAAGTTGTGTTTGGATGTAAATATAATTTTGGGTTGTTTTTGATTTTTTGTGAGTGATCTGAGTGGAAATTATGAAAAATAGTTTTTTGGAGTTTTTCAAATTTTTGAAAATTTCAAAATTTATCTTCAAGTGAAAATATTATGGCCAAACACTGATTTAGAAAAAAAAATAAAAAATTTTTGAAAAAAAAAATAAATTCATGGCCAAATGGGCTCTTAGTGTGTGCGCCACAAGTGAGAATATATTAATTTGCAAGAAGCTACCACTTTATGTGGCTGAAACACAAAATGAGAGGATGAGAACTGATACTTTTCATTTAGTTATAGAGAGTTCAAAATTTTCAGTCCTTGTTTTATAAACACCAAGTTCTCTTCCTATCCCTTTTATCATTGCACATGAACCGCCCCACCCAAACTCAAATAGAAAATAACCATTTTTTGTCCCTAAAAAGACCAAGGTGGAAGGGTTAAATCCGTGACGTACGCAAGATTTTATTATTATTTAATTTGTAAGCTAGGTTGATCTAGGACTATATAAATTTTACAGCGTTATTTCATGTCTTAAATTGATATTACTTTATATTATTTTCAAATAGTGTCGATTTATATGTACTTTTTTTAAGCGATATTGAATAAAGGTCACGTGTTCGAACAATGCAAGCAGTCACTAATACTTATATTATGGTAGGCTGTCTGCATCAGACCTTTAGGGGTGCAATCCTTCCCGAACCTTACGTGAATACCGGATACTTTGTACGCCAAACTGCTTTATTTTATTTTATTTTATTTTATTTTATGTTGGATTACATTCCTTACTAAGGATGTCTCTGTAATTAGGTTGGATGGGGTGGAGAGGGTAAAGCCCACAAAGTTCCCAACTTGTAATCTTGTGATGTACTCAAAGTTAAGTGGTCCTTGTGTCTCTTGCTATTATTTCTTTGCTTAATTAAGAGAGGGTATTATTAGTGATAATTGGTCACTTGTGTCTATAGTTGAGGTTCACTAGGAGTCTAATTATTAAGAGGGAGCATTATTGGTGAAGTTAATCGTACATTTAAGTTAAGGGCATTTTGTTTTCTTCTAAATATTAAAACCTTCAAATTAGAGCAATTGAAACTTGAATTAAGCAAGGTCACACATGAAAGGGCGCGTGTAAAAGATATAGTTAAGTGAATAAAATATTCCTTTCAACCGTTTAAATTTTTATATGAAACGGTCATACACGTTAACATTTGACATATCATAATGGCTAATTTTTAATTTCCTTCTTAGTCTCGTCCTTAATAGATCCTTTCACCCATTGGACTAAACTAAACAAATTAAAACTTAAAGTGATATTATATATTATCACTTAACCATATCTTGTATTCAATGGCTTGATGTTTATCGTGTCTAGATAAATTTTTACCTTTTTGCTCTTAAGGACGAACCTTTCCTTCTCGCTTCTTCTTTGAGAAGAGAAGCTAGGGGCTCTGTTTTCGTATCCGTTCCATATCAGTATTCATTGTTAATATCTCTCGTTAGAATCGAATGATAACTCAATCATTCCAATAGTTCCGAACAAGTCCTGCATCCTAGAAATGTTGATTTATGTAACCATGATCTTACATTAGAGCATTTCAAAGCATATTTCAATAATTAATGAAAGTGATTAGTTAAAATTAAGCACATGCTAAATCATATTAATATCGTGCTAATTTAATTTCTTCTTATTTGTTTAAAAATGGTGATGAATTTGCAGTTTCTTTGAGTGGGACTACAACTACTAGCCTAAAGGTCCAACTTAGTGGCTGGCTGCTCAATCCCAATATTCCTTCTTCCACTTCCAGAAAAATTCTAAAACCATTTGCTATATAAAGCTAATTTTGGGCAATTGAGCATTGGGCAAAGTACAAGACTTCACTATACACAGAGAAATGGCCAACAACTACAATCAATTTCTCCTTCTGTTATTACCTTTACTTCTTCACATTCACTATGGTAATTCTCCACTTACATTTAAATTTTATGAATTCTTCTACTTCTTTCAATTCTTGACTAACTTCTAGACCAAGTACAATTGTGTTTTAAGCTATGTTACGCGAACTCTCCAAAATGATGTTGCACCTGTGTCGGATCCTCAAATAATACATTATTTTTGGAGGACCCGGCACGCACCCGGAAATATTTTCAGACTGTCCGGACGACGTAGGTTTTAAGTTGGGAGATACTCAATCATAGTAGTAAAAATTTGTTTACAAATCTATATTAGCGTAAATAATTTTTACACCATCTGTGCAATTTAACATGTTATTGCAGATTATTTACTCTATTTTCCATGTTATCAACTTACCATCGGCAAACATATCATGCTTGTTATAAAAAGTTACTACTATATGTTATTGTATGCAACTTAACCTGATGGTATACTATATTATATATACGCTATCATTGCACAAAACTTAAATTCTATACTATAGAAGAGACTATTAGTAGCCTTTTTCACATCTTTTCCCTAGTAATAAAGAAGTTTATTAACATCTATTATTGTACATATGTACTAATTGCTGAGTTTTAATTGCAGTAAGAAGTGAACTCCAATTGAACTACTACTCAGAGAGTTGCCCAAGAGCTGAAGAAATAATCAAAGAACAAGTGGCACAGTTGTATCACAAGCATGGCAATACAGCAGTTTCTTGGGTCAGAAATCTCTTTCATGATTGCATGGTTAAGGTAATTATTAATTAATACCCTTAATTCTCCAATTAAAAGTAGATTAATAATCCAGTGAAATCTCATAAGTGGGGTCTGAGGAGGATAGTTCGTACCCAGATATTACCCCAACCTTGAGAAGGTAGAGACGCTGTTTCTGATAGACCCTCGGCTCCCGAGGCGGATCTAAGATTTAAGTTTTATGGGTTCAATTACCTGTAAAGTTTTAAGCATTGAACCCATTATATTTTTTAAAGTTATGGTTCATATTGCTATATATTACAATATTAATGAATTTTTACACATAAATTTATGCTCCACGCCAGAACTACTTGGTTCAGTTGAACCTGGTACCGATACCTTGCATCCGCCTCTACTCGGCTCAAGGAAAAATGAAAAAAACAGTAACAACAAATAGTAACAACAACAAAAACCAAGAAAACTGAAGCGAAAGATAATAAGAAAACAACGGATAGTAAAAACTATAAACATTATGACCAATTTAAATACTAATATGCCTTTCTGCTTGCAGTCATGTGATGCATCAATATATTTGGACACAGCAAATGGACAGGAATCAGAGAAAACATCTCCAAAAAACTTTGGAATGAGAAATTTTAAGTATGTTGAGACTATTAAACAGGCACTTGAGAGTGAATGTCCTAATACTGTTTCTTGTGCTGATATTGTTGCTCTTTCTGCTACATATGGTCTTCTCTGGGTAAGTTGATCAAAACTATTTTATATTGTTAATGTGTTTCAATTTGTTAAAGTAGAGTTTTAGAGCAACGGTAAAGTTGTACTCGGGTTGAAAAGAAAAGAAGCCTCAAGCCGATAAGTCATCATCATGTGCAATTATTTCAAAAGAAGAGCTGGGCGCTGATCTACAACCACCCTCTCACTCACAGCACACATGCTATATGTGTGATGCCGACACCCTGATTTATACATCCACTCCAGACTGTTTACATTATTTATTATCTTTTTACGGCCATCATGTTATTCTAGAATTAACCATGCTATTTATGCTAAAGATAGCTCTTCATAGATCTCTACGACCTACCTCTACGAACGGCCTTAGACTGGCGTATTAATAGTAGCTGCTACTCATATGCTGATGGTCGCTTGTCCCGACCTATCTATGTGTATACACTTAGAGCTCACCTCCTCATCTATACGACTCTCTCGATAGTAGAAGAGAAAAGAAACATATCCAATGAGTCTGATCGCAATATGATCTGTAAGTTAGGGTTCGAGCTGTAGAAGCAGTCACTAATACTTACATTAGAGTAGGCTGTCTACCCCACACATTACTTGAGGTGCGTCCTTTCCTCATACTTTGCGTGAATACCAAATGCTTTGTGTATCGAGCTGACCTAATGTATTTTAATCCGTTGTAACACGCAATTATGAAAGAGATAACCAATAAATTACTACTTTCCATTTATAGAACTGAGTATATTTTGTGTGATACATAGTTAGGAGGGCCACGTGTTGAAATGAGAACAGGAAGGAAGGACAGCAAAGAAAGCCACTTGACAGAAGTTGAGAGTTCCATTCCTAACCACAATGATTCTATGTCATCAGTCCTTTCTCGATTCCAATCCATTGGTGTTGACACTGAAGGAACTGTTGCTCTTTTTGGTAAATCTCCCCTCTAATTTGCTGTTTATTTTTTCAAACTCCCAAGTTTAACACAATAAGTAAATCACTAAATTTTGTATACTGACAATTGTATTATATGGTTATTTAATTAAAATTCAATTAGATAGTCGAATAACGTTTGGATAAGTTTATAAGCTGGTCAATATTTTATACGCATTTCTTGACTTATTTATGCATTTATGAAGCATAATTTATTTAATATAAGTTAAAATCAGTCAAAAGCTGATTACTCCCAACTTATGATTTTTAAGCACTTTTGATTTAACAAAACTTTTAACTATTATGTCCTAATTCTTTTTTTGTAATCCCCAAAATACCTTTAGATTAGACTCCTTTTCCATTTCATTTATGTCATTCTTCCTTTTTCCACATAAAAGACAATTTTATATTTATACTTCTTGCAAATAGTTTTAAGTGTAATTTAGTAAATTAATAGAAATAAATTATTACATACATCATTGCAACTACTTATTATTGCTTTAAATATATTTATCTAAAGTCGTAACTATTTATTTATCCCAAACAGACTTCTAAATTATTTTATTTTATTTGGATACAGGGGCTCACTCGGTAGGACGAGTTCATTGTGTGAACCTAGTCCACAGACTTTACCCGACTGTTGATCCGACCCTTGACCCCGACTATGCTAAGTACCTTAAAGGTCGATGTCCGACACCAGATCCTGACCCAGAGGCAGTTTTATACTCGAGAAATGATCGCGAAACTACAATGATCCTAGACAATATGTATTACAAAAACATCTTGAACCACAAGGGGCTATTAATTGTGGATCAAGAATTGGTTAGTGATCCAACTACTTCTCCATTTGTGGAGAAAATGGCTGCTGACAATGGCTATTTTCATGATCAATTTGCTCGGGCTCTGCTCATTTTGTCTGAAAATAATCCACTTACTGGAGATCAAGGCGAGATTAGAAAAGTTTGCCGTTACGTAAATAGTGCTTAGATTTGATTTATTTGTAGCGGCCAAGAATGTAATGTTTGTATTTGTTTTCTCGTATTTATTTCTGTTGTTGTATTGCATGCATTTTCAAGTTTGTTTTAATAATACCAGTAAAATCAAGTGTACTAAAGGGTCTTAATGCGATATATGCCAGTTCTGTTTTTATAGCCATCTTTGTTCATTTTCATAGTATTCTACATTCAGACAAGGGTTAATTTGTCAGCATTTCTTAGAACAAACACAAAATTTTGAAAAATTGGCTCAAATAGCCGCTCACCTAATCTCTTAAGTTACAAATAGCCGATGAATATATAATATATGTATAATTCAAATATACTATGTGTATTCAGTACATACACCGGCTAAAAAAACTAAACAATCGGGCTAAAAATTTAGTATCTCACGATACGTTGCTATTAAGCACAAAACTTTCTGATTCCGTATTGTGGAAGTTGGGCCTTAATTCCTTTTTGTCAACTTACTTTACCAGTAATATTGGACTTGCATAAGGTACATGACTGCAATGGGCGATTGGACAAATCAAATGCTGTAACTAATTAGGGGAATTTGCAGTCGTACTTTATATTTGTGCCACCTTTTAACCTGTACTCTATTTTTAAAAATTATTAATTTGGTAGCAGTTGACAAAAATCCGTAATAATATGACACTCACACCCCTGATAAAACGTATGATCTGCAACCTCATTCATGAAAAAAGATCTCCTCCCTCATCTCAGCAGCTTTATCAAAAAAAAAAAAAAAAAAACAGAAACTTCATGAAGTTGTTTCATGTTGAAGCTAAAACTTCATGCTAATCCATGCTGAAGTTATTTATCCCTCAGTCTATAGTTTTGTCATGAGTGCTGAAGTTATTCAGTTCATTTGCTAAAACTTCAGTTTAAACATGCTGAAGTTATTTAGTTCATTTGCGAAAACTTCAGACTAAACATGCTTATGTTTCTGTTTTGCAGTATATAATTTTCTAATGAGTTTTTGCTAATGCATACTGAAGTTATTTAGTTCATTTTGCTAAAACTTCAGACTAAACATATTTAGTTCATTTGCGAAAACTTCAGACTAAACATGCTTATGCTTTTGTTTTGCAGTATGTAATTTTCTAATGAGTTTTTGTTAATGCATGCTAAAGTTATTTAGCTCATTTGCTAAAACGTCATAGTGAACATGCTTAAGTTATTTAGTCCATTATGCTTAAGTTATTTAGTTCATTTGCTAAAACTTCAGACTAAACATGCTTAAGTTATTTAGTTCATTTGCTGAAACTTCATGCCAAAACATGCTGAAGTTTTGTCCTGCAATCTACAGTTTTGTCAATAGTCCTGAAGGGCAAAATCGTCTTTTTAAAATGCTTTTAACAAAAAAAATGGGTACGGATGCAAACGAAAAAATAAAACAGGTATAAGTTAAAAGGGGGCGACCAAATAGGGCGCCCCATGCAATTTTTACACCAAATTACGGGCATTCAGTAGTGGGGGCAAGTGCATAGATAGTCATTTTCAGGGATGTTATTTAAAAATTAGTCAATACTTATGTTGTCCTGAAATCTTAAACTAAAAATCTTAACTTCAGGATAACTCAGGACATTTTTGTCCTGAAAAATTAAATTGAAAAACTGAAATTAAGGACACATTGGCTAATTTCTAAATAGCAACCCTTTAGAGTGGCTACCTGGTGTCATTTCTACTCAGTAGTGTTGTTGGCCCATATTAAGTTAGAAATAATGTTTGTGAGCACGTGATTTTTACCTCCGCCGTCCACCGCCGCCGCCGGAAATCGCCGCCGGCGGCGGCGAAACTCCAAATCCGCCCAAAATTTCACCACAAGCTCCCCTTTCCCTCCTCTTTCCAAATCCCCAAATACCATCCCTCAAATCCTAGCCGATTTTCTCAAATCTTAGATCGAAATTCCGGTGAAAACCCTAAGTCTTCCCAAGCCCACCAAATTAACACTATGTGGCCTTCTCACTCTCCTCTTTACGAATCCATAGCCCATAATCCTCAAATCATCTTGGAAATCTTCGAGTTTTGAGTTGAAGGCCGGCTCAAAACCCTAGTTTTGTGAGTCAGGGTTTCTGTTGATGGCTTGACCATTATAGGGTTTATCCGTGTATTTTCTCATGGATAACACACGGTTAAACACTAATATTGGTCAAGCAATTTCAAGCCAAGTGACCTCGGGCCAATTTCAAGTTGATACATTAAAACCAAAAACAATGAGTTTCTCAACTCCTTTCTTTCTTTTTTTATGTTCTTTCAATGCAATTGTTTGCTTTGCTTTCAATTTAACTTGAATTCCAGTAATTGGTTCATGTTAGCTTAATTTTGATTTTTTTCGTTTTGTTTTTGACTGATTAAATATTAGTTTAATTCTGATAGATTCGAGTTGTAGCATAGTTAGATTTTCTTTTAGTTCTATTTTGATTCAATTAGGTGTTTGGCAATTCTGATAAACAATGTGTTATTTGGTTTAAACACATGTATATTAGCTTTGCAATTTGATTTTGTTTCCTTTTAGTTTTTAGTTTAATGGTGTTTCAAATCTGTTTTGGGTGTTGTTTGATTTTTGTTTGATTGAATTAATATTTCTGCTAGTTTATTTAGTTTAGTTTTAATTGTTTTTCAATTTAGTGTTCATTTTCAATTTAATTAGGCTCAGGGTTTGGATATAGCTGAATAACTTAGCCTTCAATTAACTATAGTTGAATTTTAACTAAGGCAAATGGGGTTGGGTTTGGTTAGTAATTTCAGGGGCAATCAAGGGTAGTTTAGGCACACAAAATGGGGTGGTTTGTTAAGGATCAGTAATTTTAGAACTCAAGTAAGGGTAGTATAGGCATTCCATAGGTAGGAAAACAAAGCTAGAACACCCTAGATCCTTCTAGAAGGGGTCTTAATGTAAGTTTCAGCATTTTAAAAGCAGTAACTTGGGCAACAAGCCACAACTTTAGGATTAATATGCAATTTCTGAAAATAAAAAAAGGGGAAAAATGGGTAAACACTTCCAGAACATTCTGCCCCCTTCCTTGCCTATAAAAGGCAGGCCTAGTGCCTTATTTTACAAGTTTTAGAATCTGAAAAATCCCAAAAAAGTTTAAACACCTGAAATTCCAAAAAAAAATTTTGCTTTTAAAATTCCCCCCCAAAAATATTTTCTGCAAGTTCTAACACCAAAATTTGAATCTCAAATCCAAAGAAGTTCAAAAATCTGAACTCTTATAGTTCAAAATTTCTCTTAGATTTTAATTCCTTCAAAAAACCAAAAACAAAAGAAAATACAGCAGAAAAACTCAAAAATACTGTTACATTGAAGCTCCTGTTTAGATTAATTTGAAGTTCAGCTGTTATTTTGAGTTCCTAATTGTTCCTGGTTTCATTTCTCCAGCTCTTTTGGGTTTATTCCAGTGATTTTGATCAGTTCATTGACTGATTTGGTGTCAAAATATTTCCTGGGTTAATTTAAAGCTCAAATTGGACTTAAGTCAAGTTATTTTAATCACCCGGTGGTTTGTTATCATTTGTGATCTGGTCCTGGGTGTCTTGACATTATTTTGGGTTGAAACTGATTTGTTGTTGTTGGTTAGTTGTTGCTACTGCTGTTGACCATCTTCTTCTCTTTTGCTTCATTGCAATTCCAGGTACATACTTCTGAAGTCACATTGATGTAGCTTTGAATTGGAGTGAAATGAAAAGTATTCCTCAGATCTGTGCTCATTTGGATCCTCCTATAGTTACAATTAAATAGATGTTAGTTGGTGGGTAGTTATCTAGCGTTAGTTTGTTTGGTTTGTATTACATGAACAATAGACCGTGGACTGTATAATTAGGATTGCTTCTAAATTGATTTGGACTGTTTTGGACTTTTGATTTGTATTGGACTGCTGAAATTCCTTAGTCTAGTGTAGTTTTGTTGATGATTAGTTTGACGTCAATAACAGCATAAATGTAGAAGTTGATTCTAGGTCCTCATGTGTAGTTGAACACTCGAATAGGTATGAGTATTTAAAAAAAAAAATTGAATTTGACCTGGACAGCATGTTTATGAGTGTAAAATCAGGTTGTGAGTCGTTTTGCATGCTGTTGATGAATTTTGATTCATTTAATCGTTACAAGTATTGAAGTAGTAGCTTGATTTGCTTCAGTTCTCAGAAACAATCATCTATGGCTATAATATAGAAATCAGGAAAAATACATAAATAATTTGAGTGTTAAACTGTATTGTCAATTGGAATTGTGATTAGAGGTTGTCTAGGCTATAAGTTGAATCTTAAATCAAGTTTCCATAAACATAATGAATCTGAATTTTTAAATGCTTATTGAGTTAAGTTTGCTTGCTCAAGTCCAGTTCAGTCTCTGTTTGGGCCCCTGAACAGGCCCACGATCTGATGGACCCTCTTCCAGACTCTATTAAAATTTATTATTTTGGGATTGGTCAAAGAGCTTGATTCATAGCTTGACATAAAATCGATTTGGGCCTCTCGAGCTAGGTAGCACGTTTGAAGTAAGGGGGATTTTCCTCTTGTTTAGATGTGGACTTGAGTTTGAAGGCCCGGATTCCTTAACTAATTAATTAGGTCCTATTAGAGACAAATTCAATAGAAAATAATAGTTTGATCTATGATGGCCTTTTAGAAGTAAAACGAGGTGCGCTACGGCAAATGAAACCCATAAATCGCGTGGCCCTCTTTAAACACTTATATTCAAATACGTAGAATTTGGGACGTGCCATTTAGCGAATTTTCAGGGCCTTCCACAAAGTTAATAGCACGTTAGTCTCTTTAAGCGCGCTTTTTAATAATTTTACCTTCCTAAATACGGGTGTGCATTTCATGTAACCCAAATCCAAATCCCAAAACATTGAATAAAGTATGTCGAGGATCCGGGTGCATTTCATCTGACGTGATCCGAAAACATATTTTAAACGATGTTCAATTTCTTAAAAAATTTAATTAAAAGCGGTAAATAATTTTAAAATTGCACTATAGGATGACATGTATTAAAATCAGATTTTTAGCCAATTATAATAGTTTAAGCGACCGTGCTAGAACCACGGGATCCGGGGGTGCCTAACACCTTCCCTCGGGTCAACAGAATTCCTTATTCAGAATTTCTGGTTCGCAGACTCCAATTGGGAAGTCGAAAATTTTCCTCGATTT